TAAGAAGATGTGATCTGAGTCCTTTTTAATTGTTGCATTGAGTAATTAGAATCAACGGTGTTAGACTGCACACTCCTGCTCACGTCTACAACATTTGTTTTTTCTGTAGAATTCATAAAACTCAAAATAGAAGCTCATAAATTTGCCATTTTCACATAAACCGTAGCCTCGTCCATACCCATTGAGATAAATCAATCTTTAATGGAAATAAATTTGAAACGGGAATCTGTTAAGATGGGTTCCATCCGGTGTGGGACATTTAACACCTCTCCTCACGACCAGACACTTTGTCTGAATCGTGTCATCATTCATTTTTTCATAAGGGCCCACACCATGGATCGATTTGGCTCTGATATCATGTTAAGACCTGAAGTTCCGTTCTAAAAGGTCAACCTGATAGGAGGAGTAGCCCATGTGTTAATATAGTACTTTGTTCATCCAAACTTTTCCGGCGTGAGACATTTAACATAAGCTATAGTTGTAGCAAGGAGAAAGACAATATGAAACTCCCCCAATATTTATTATATTTTCCCTTCATTGCAATCACAACATCTTTGAATTCAAGATATTGTCCTTGTCCGTATGCACTAAAATATGCATGAAAATCAACCAAACACTCAATAACACGATTACATGTTTGGTAGTATACACCCGAAAATATCTTCATTGAGGATGCAAATTAAAGATGGCTATAAACACACAAGTAAGTTCTGCTATCCTCCAACCTTCCTCGTTAGGTACAAACAAGTTGCAATTACGGGAAGACATAATCAGGTTATGAACAATACTTGTTCAATGGCTAGCTCTTTATACTGAATTGCCAAGTTCAACAAGTCATAAGTGGAATTCCATCTATGCCGCACATCAATGTCAATATTCTTCATACGGAAATTAAACCGCATTCAACACAACATTTCATCCAGTCTCATGTCTCTTATTTGAAGAATTCATATTGCGAACAATATCAATAATTTTATCAATAGAGGGAGATAACTTCTTAAGTCCATCTTGTACAATTAAAATTCAATATATGACAATAACATCTAACATGAAAATTTTCATGTGCCAAACCGCTAGGAATCCATAAGGGCATGGGGAATTTCATAAAAAGAAAGTAATTTGTTTGGATTCTGGTATGTAAGTATAAGTCATTTCAATCAAAATAATATTATTATGTTCAAATAGTACATTTTAGTTATTAGTCCGTATAACAGTATGTCCATATTCATTTCAGTCACATTTTATCCATAAGAATGATTTTACTTGTACTTTAGGGAAAACTAGCTAGTAAATGTATTTCATCAACGTAAGTTTAGTATTTTAAGTACGAGAAAATTGTCCAAGGTAGGACTAAAACTCAACCTTTTTCTCAAAATAGGACCACATGCATGTTTTTCCCTAAATAGGACTAACCTTACCTTTTTTACCCCTAATTCTATTTAATTAATTAATTAATCTAAATAATTGCCCCCCCTAATTTCCTTGCACAACCAAGGCAGTCCGTCGGTGGCGTGGCAGTCCGTGGTGGCGGCAGCACTCCGGCAGCGGCCGGCGGCGGATTCCGGCGGCGGCGGCGGCAACTCCGGCAAATAATTAACCCAATTAATTGCCCCCCCTAGTTCTCTTGCACAACCAAGGCAGTCCGTTGGTAGCGGGGCAGTCCGGAGGTGGCGGCAGGTTGGCGGCAGTGGAAGAGGCGGTTTCCGGCGGCGGCGGCGGCGGCGGCCGGCGGCAGGTGGCGGCAGAATGTTGACAAACCTCCAGAAAAAAAATCTGGAAATTTTCCGGCGGCAGTCGCCGGAGCTCCGGCGGCGACGGCGACGGCGGCAGGCGGCAGGCGGCGGCGGCGGCGGCAGGCGGCAGGCGGCGGTCCGGCAGTCCCTGGGCAGCAGTGGTAAAGGTTGTGAGGGGTATTTTGGTCCAATCACTAATAAAAAGTCCTATTTAAGGATGTTTAAACTAGGTACTCCTATTTTGAGAAAAAAGCCATGTTTTGATCCTATTAAGGTAAATCTCCCTTTTAAGTACTCAGTCTAAAATGTTTGAAATATTGAAATTGTGCAATTGGAACCATAATGTTAAACATGTGAGGATGTAAAAATATATACGTATGCCGTATGCGCGTTTGCCTACCGACATCACATGCAATGATGCGATTCAAAGTTCAGAACATTTATTTCGCATATTGATAATACTAATTGTGGTATTTGAATTAATTTATCCTTTGGTTAATCTTAATATTATGAATAAATTAAAGTTATATTTAATGTATCAAGTTTTATATACTCCGTATTAAAGATATATATCCATCACTAAAGAATCATTACTGTACCAAAATTTCGAAAAAAACGGGACCCATTTGACCCATAAAAGATACAAAGGTTTATTATTTGATGAATAGTAAAAAGAATCTATGAGACATGGGTTTCAATTTAAGAGATCTTGTTGTATTATCATGGCAATGTACAATTGAATATTACGGAGCACATACCATACCATATCAGGTGTTTGGGCGTTTGCTTCACGTTTTGCTACCCTCCATGGGGGTGTCACATTCTCACTTTCTCGGACATTTTAGATCTTCAAAGATTATGATGCATTATAGCAATATTATTCTTTATTTCCCCTCTAATCACATAATAATAACAAAATAAAAGTAACAACTTTATAACAAGGCAAACACGCATTAAAACTATTGCAAATTTTTAATCCTATTTGTTATACTTATTTTTCATTTTGTTAGCCTTAACTTATCAATTAATTACGGAGTATTTTACAAAACTTTAAATTTTAGCGATTTAAAGAGTGGAACTGAAATTTGGGTTCTAATCCATTATCTGCTTGAAAGATGTTATCTTTCTGAGTTTGTCACTTTTGGTAGTCCTATTAAAGTACCTGGATCGAACTTGAAAATTTAAACGCCCTGACGATTCATAAAATCTATAACTTGACTTGGATTGATCAAAACCCAAAACAGATGCCATTAAAATCAATATAATATACCGATATTATTCATTCACACGTGTCTTAAGCACAATATTAAGATAAGTTATGATGTTTGAGTTTGAATTGTTGGTGATTTTGAAAATTACTCCTAATTATTTGTGTTCTTTTTTCTGCATTAACCAATCTTATTTTAAATGGAGCCCAGACTACCAAAAATCCAACTTGGAACATATGTAATGGCAAGGCCTTGTCAAGGTTTCCGATTTTCATATCTTGAGGCATTGCAAATAATTTTCGGGTTCTGAAAAAACTTAACCATGACAGAACCATTCCACTCCTAAATTTTTTATTTTGTGCGCTGAATTGTGTAATAATAATAAACATATAATTTATCTTACTTTTCTTATTGAACTTATTGAACATTACTATTTTAACTTTCTCATAGTTATTTTCTTTATCTTATTAATTGAATATGAATTGAAGTATGCTTTGAGTATAGGTGTACATAAATAATATGGTTGATGTTATTACTATCATTGTTTTTAAAGAGTATTATTGTTGTTGTTATTGTTATTATTATTATTATTATTATTATTATTATAAAAAGTATTAAATTCATTAAAAAATAAGGGTTGTATTATTAGTATTATGGAATACAAAATACGCGTACCCCTAACAAACAAGTTCAAAGGATCCTTCAATTATAATAACCAAAATAAAACTAAACATATTCTAGAAAATGGACATTCATTGAATGAGAGGGGGTTAAGGAATGTGATCACAGCTAAATCCATTGTCACAACTAAATGACAGCTTGGCCTTACCTGGACTTGACTCAAATCAAACCATGTAACTATCAAGCATGCCCTGAGGGAGTGGACCACTCTTTCATAATCAAATTACTTTAGCTATTTTGCATTTCTATGGCCCTTTCATCATCCCATCAATTAAGTTCATATAGATCCCACCTAATTGTTTCTTTTACATTGCCACTTAAGGTGATGAATGAACATTCTCTGGCAATGTGCTGGCTTTCCAGCTCCTCCTACCCTGCCCAATTATTATCCTGCTAAAATGAGTTAAAAGCAACACAGAAAGTAATTTTTATATGCTGGAACTCGTGGGGAATTGAATGGATGGGGTGATCACATTGAAAGAAACAAGAAAACATAAAGGTTACTATTACCTTAGTACATGGAAAATGAGTTCCAACTGGAAGAAAGTTCAAGAAACAAGAAAACATAAAGGTTATCATTACCTCCATATTTAGATGTGTATTTTTTAAATTTTGTTATGAGAACTACTGGGCGTGTTTTGCATTTAGCGGATAGCACATAGCGGATTATTTTAGTGAGTTGTCAATAGCAAATTCAGTTAGCGAGTTTGACTAGCGGAATAAGTTTGCAAGTTGCAAAAAAGATGTTTGGTAATTTAATTGTTTGGTCGTAACAATTACTAGAAACGCCTATTTCAAAACGATAACTCAAAACTCTCAAATATGTAACGATTTCATTTTAGCGTTTCTGTCCAAAAACGCTAAGGTTGAACAACTATTTCCCAAACAACGTTTTCAGTTATAAAAAACGTTGAAAGAGATCAAATCACCATTTTTGGCTGAAATGTCATTATTCAAACACCCCCATTATATTTGAAGTCATTTTCAATGTATTAAATTTTATGAGATTTAGCAAGCGTTTGGCAATCCATTACACATATGTCATAACATACACGTTAAAATTGTTAGCTTTACAGGGTTTAGAAGTACATTGTTGGTGACCGGAGATAAATGGCGGTGGTTAGAGGTTGGTGGGATGAGAAAGCTTGATAATGATTGTCTATGGATGTTACCTTATTGTTTATTAGACACATGAATGTTCTATTACCACATAAAAAGTGACTTCAAATACTATAAGTGTCCTCATTATAAAATTATGGAAATTATAAATTTCATGTTTTATTTTCATATTAGTTTAAGTCGACCACATAAACAGTGGACCAATGCTTTAACCTGAGACGATTAGACGAACATAGATACATTAAAGTACACAATCTAATAGATAGAATTCCTATTTCCTTCTGATATTCATGCTCCTTGATAAAAAATCATTTAATGATACGAGTACATCCCATTACAAATCATAGTTCATACATCTCTGCTCCTTGAGCCTCCACCAGCATTAGTACACTACTCTGTGAAGTGGAAAAGGATAGAATAAAATGTCTTGCAATGCTCAATTGAATTGTGTATGTAAACATAACTTTGGGTGTGGTGTACACATTAATCAGAATACTTGGGCTGATTTCCCAGTCAATCACTACAAACAAATCCATTGTATATCCCTTTTGACTCAGAGCTAAGATATATTCAACATCCCAAGTATACATATGACTATTCACATGCTTGAAACAAAAACAAAAAACAAAAAAAAAGTAATAAAAAAAACTTTCCCTCTGAAATGTCATTCCCATGTTGTCATTTGTAGTTCCAGAAGTGGCACACACAATAGTTACCTGTTGTTATTTTCCTTTAGACTTTAGAGGCCATTAGCCATAGCAAATTCGGTGTCAGCTGACTTTAGGCTGCACAAATGGGAAATAGTCAACGCTAGTCCACCACTCACAGTCAACGCTGGACTTGTCCAACACTTCTGGTTTAACATTGTTAAAATCAAAGTCTTTGTTCATCAAATCCAGTGCACCATTCCTGTGCTTCTCAGGCCACCTATGACGTTGTTCTTCCTCTTTCATGCTCCCATTTCTACTTTCTTGAACAGAAGAAGAATACTCAGCTTCCTTTGCCAGATCAGACAGTTGAACGGTTTCAGCTGACTCGGGATGGTTATGTGGCAACACGGTGGGAATTTCTCCCCCAGTCAACTCAAATGAAACTCTATGATGAAGAGTAGTGTCGTCATTGTGTTCGGACTCATTGTCGGAGTTGGCAAGTGAAACAACCTCAGATATTTGGGTGTCCAAAACATAATAACTGTCTCGTGAGGGAGGTTCAGCGCCGTTGCTCGGTGTCATGGTCCCCGAACCTAGCCTAGAAGCTGGGGTCAAAGTTCCTGAACCCCACCTTCGGGCAGAGAAGCGGCTGCCCGGGCTCCCTGGGCAGGTGTAAGGCTGATAGTCGTACTGCGATAATGGGAACCTCACATTGTTGTTTCTGCGATTTCGGGCAAGTGATGAAGTAAGAAGCTGAGCGAACGGAACTTCTGGCGAGGGTGGTGTCGTCATTCCAGCTGATTCCGGTGGAGGAGTGTAACAAGCAGTTGACGGTTCTGTGGTCACTGCGGAAAATGCTGGTGGCGTGACTAGCTGAGTTTCGTGAGCGTATGGACCAATGGTAAAGGCTGAGGATGCCATGGATGGGGAAAATGCGTTGTTAATGGATAGGGCGGCGGTAAGAGAGAGTGGGCCTGGTGGTGATTGGATTGCGGAGGGAGGGTCAGACTGCATAAAAGATGCTGGAGAAGAGGGAGGAGCTATGAAGGGAAACACAATGGTGGTGGTTGGGTGGTTTTGATTCCCAGAAACCACTGGAGCTGCGGGTGCGGGTGCCGCCGGTTCAGGAACAAGGACGGCGCGACCGATCCGTTTGGTTTTATGTTTGTAGGAACTAAAACACCAGTAAAGACTCCACCTGCTTCCCCATCCACTTTTCTGGAATATGTACATATAAGAAAACAAAATAAACATCTTTAATAAAGATAAATGCCAAGTATATGATAAAACAGTAGTAAAGGGAAAAGATGTGAGTTTTACTAGACACTGACCAAGGTCATGTTCAATTTTACAAATCATTGACTATGTTGGAATTTCCATGAATAATCTACCAGCTTCGCCATCCACTTTTGTACATAAATAAATTCTATTTTAGTAATATTTCCAAAAAAACTCATGTATTAAATGCATATACTTTCCATTACAAAAATTGGAGTAACGCCACATTAAATCAATTTTGTACAATCAAGTTGAAAAGCATAAGCAAAAACAAAAGTATTAGCAAACTATGTCACTCAAAGGTGTTCTGATGATATTGTGGTAAAGTCATTTCACATCAAACCAATATAAGCTGTTAGAACACTCCTCAGCCAAACCTAAAGCAATCCATATATGCTCAAAGACATCTAATAATACAGGAAAGAACATTGATTTGTTAATGGAGTATATGATAAGCAATATTAACTTTGGATCTTTTCAGAAACAAATCATAGCCAGAGTCTCTTCTGATACAGATAATCTCAGATCCTGCTAAACAGTAATTAATCATTTGGATCATCCTCCAGCATTATACACAACTGCCCACCATGTTTTGGTATTATATCAGAGAAGCTAAAATATTTTTGAAATTCCCTGCCTTTGAAAGGCCTTTTTGGTCTTGAAAGTAAAATGTTTAAAAAAAATCTGCATTAAAGTCCAAACTGTGTTCCTCTTCTATATCCAAGAAACATATTTCTCAGTTTATTTACTGCAGAAAATTTATGGTCTTAGAATCAGGATGGATAATGGCACAACCATCAACAAAACATGATTTTTGGAACAGGGGCACAGTTTATGTTAATGATCTCTCCTTTACTGAATAGATCTATCATTTACCAACCTCTTTCAGAGCAAAAGAGGAACTGAATTATATATACACTTTCAATCACAAAATTTACTTTTCACTTCCCTGAAAATTCTGAACATATTTAATAAAATACCATGGCTCAGCTTTAATGCTAATTTTTTACACAGCCAAGTCAAATACTAATCTTCAACTTTTTCATCTACAGAGATTATATTGATTTTTATATCCCCAATTACAAAATACCCTTTCTTGTGAAAATAACAGTAATTTCCCGAGTTCAGCTTCCTGACACTTTTCATCTTATAAGATCAATCAACCGATTCCAGACAAAATAAATCAATAACAAAAATCAAATTTGAGTTCAAATCCTACCATGCGCAATACAGATTCGAGGAAAAACGAAGAAATACTTGAATAAGACAACCATAAACGCAAATGAAAAAACTAATCAAACCAAAATAGTTTAAACGCAATAACAAAAATCACACACAAACTGGGCAAACCTAATACATGCATAGAAAACCATGAACACGTATTTGTATTGATATGTTCTATGTACTTACCCGAATCGAAGTTGGCTGAACTCTGCTTTCGGCTGTAACAATGGCGGTGGCGGCAGCATTTACTGTCTCAACACTGCTAGGCAGGCTGCTCATACCGGTCCCTATTAATTTTAGAAAGTTTCGATCTTTTTGAGGTACCGGAAATTCTAGAATTTCTATTTCAGGATATCGCTCGCTCAGGCGAATTTGCCGGTGAATCCCCGACGGAATTCAATCAGAAGACATTCGCTGAGAAGGTGGAAAAGAAGATCAGAAAGGGCGCAGAAACATACGGAGCGTTATAAATGACCCAAAGCGAATTTCCAAAATTATTACGTGAGCCCCGCAAATGCATCATATACATTTCTTAATAAATGAACATGTATGGCAGATATCTTATATGAATAAATATTTCTAATTGCATTATTTTTTATTTGTGAAAAGTTATGGTGTGGTCTATATACAACTTTATCCTGTAGGGATTTTGGCATTATTTAATGCAAGTGTGTGACTGTGTCTATATACAAATATTATAAATAAATTATGCATGGACATCTCTTATAATTTGGAAATTCTCCTTCAAACAAGAATTGAGAAATCCTTAATTTCAGAGGGTTGGGAAATTGTGATTCAAGTTTTTGAAAGTGTGAAGCTAGGAGTTAAATTTTACTATAATCGTCAGGGCATCCCCATTCAATTATTTGAGGATTAAATTGTTGATGTAGCGAATTATTTTGGGGATCATATATGATTGAGTGATGAACATTATTTGACAAAATGATTTGGGATTGAAATATGAATCCAGATTACCTCAAGATTAATGTGAAAGTAGTATTAATTACTGAGTGCAGGATCCACAAAAGATTTGATTATTTTGAGATGATGAATGCTATAATTTTGAAAAAATTTACGTGTCATTAAAAAATCGTTTATTCGAGTAGTATCAATGTGGACGCTCTCAGTCCCATATTATTCTTTCAGGTTTGATTTGGAAAATGATAATGAAGTGAAGATGTATGGTTATGGTAATATGGTTGGATTAAGAAAAAAGATATATGAATATTAGACACACAAAATTTTCCAAAATCGAAAATGAGAAGAATTTTTTGAACATCTTAAAAAGGTACATGGGAAGAATGTTTAGGACAACAAATTTATCAAATAGTTATTTATAATCAGCTAATATAATCAGTCGATCAAACAGCTAACACAACCAGCTAATAACAACACCAAACAGTCATTTACCAAACAAGGCCTTTATAGTTAGGACTTGATAGTTCGAATAATTTCACATTTATAAGACACGCTATACGTTACATCGTGGGCCTTCTAGCACGGATACATTATTTTAGCATATAAATTCGACATATACATAAACTTTTACTAGTGTGACTACACGTGCTGAGTATAATTTTGCATTGCTCATTTGTCAAAGCCCAAAAATGTATTGAGAATGACACATATTTTAAGTAATGCTCCGCATTATCTGCAAATATTAATGTATAATTAATACTGAGTAATTGACCACTAATGTAACTATTAAACCAATAGTTATATCGTCAGTTAATTACAAGACAACGTTGTCTAATATGGAGTATATTGCTGACCTTTTTAGATCTAATTGTCTAATATGGTGTTGAAGTGAGTGAATGATAAAACAGTTCCCTATTTGCCTCGTTAGCAGATTAATTTCAGTTTTTTGTTGTAAGAGAATATTACTCAAATAGGATTAAAAAGGTATGAAAATTTCAAAATAGGATTGTCATATTTTTATTCCTAAAATAGTACTAATTACTGTCATGTTTGGTAGTACCAGACTTCAAACATGACAATATTTTCCAAACTTGACAGTAATTATTCCTGTTTTGGGAATAAAAAACATGTCAGTCTTATTTTGGAATTTTCAAACTGTTTTAATCATATTTCGGGAACTTTCCCTTATTGTAATGGTGTATGTTAAACGGATACGAATACGGGTACGACAACTTTAAACATATAGGCTATAAGGGAGCGGTTCTTGTGAGAAAGGAGTTCCATGAGAGAGATGAAAATATAATCCAAGTCTCCATTTAACTAAGGGAAAATTGAAACTAATAATCCAACCTTTTAGCGGTCTTCTTTCAATAATCTCACCTTTTGATTATTCATGAATAATCCAACCTTTGCACCTCATCTTCATTCACTGGTCCCTGACCGGTTGATGACCTGCTATTCCAAGCTATTTTCTTATCATTGCAAATCATTATACCATAAATATCATCTTTCACAAAGATAATATTTTGGAAATATAAGAAAATAACTTGGAATACTAGATCATTAACCGACCAGGGACCAATGAATGAAGATGAGGTGCAAAGGTTGGATTATTCATGAATAATCAATAGGTGAGATTATTGAAAGAAGACCGCTAAAAGGTTGGATTATTAATTTCCATTTTCCCTTTAACTAATCGGATCATCAGAACAAAGCGAGACATACCTCAATAATCTGTTCTTTATTGAAATCATTAATTGATACGAGTGCTATTTCAATTAGTATTTTGGTTAGAGGGTATTTCTGTAAACAAACACCATTATTAATGACTCAATCGTGCATACACTTGCAATCAAACTCCTATATAATCGGTCAGTGTTAACCATATATATCTGTCTTACCTTTATTTATTTATTTATTTATTTTATCGTAACTTACCTTTATTTAAAATTATGAAGGTTCATTCAATATTCCAATAATTTGCCGGTAACAACATGGAAAACAACGCCCACCTTAATTAATTAAAGTGCAACGTAAAATATGTATATGTGCAATGTGTACCAACTATTAATTGCATAAAGTGTGACTTTATATAAAGTGCAACGTAAAATACGTATATGTGCAATGTGTACCAACTATTAAGTGCATAAAGTGTGACTTTATATTTAGTCACCCGTAAGTAATAAATAATGAACACCATAACTTCTTACTCGTGATCTATTTTTTTTAATTTTCTGTAATATTATATTTCTTTCTCAAGTTATATTTATAGCCTTAAATTATTTATAAGACGTGCATAGTTTTTATTTGTAATATTCATTTCACATCAACTAACAATATTTTTCATGATTGTATGTTTCCATGACATGAGTAATGTGCACTATAATCAATTGATCTGAAACACATTGATACTCTTTAATTGAATTCCCATGCACTTGTATCATGTATGTGTGCATCTTGTAAGCTTGTCATTAAAAATGCATTATAGTATATTGTGCACTTTTTCTAAAATTAACATGCACATTTTTAAAATAACACTTTTTATCTCATTAATATGCACTTTGTATATCATTAACATGCACTTTCTATGTAAGTTTTTATTTAGTAACTACTCTCATACACTTGTACACTTCCAAATTAATACTCCCTCCGGTTTTTAATAAACTTCACACTTTCTTTTTTGGGACGGTCTAAAATAAACTTCACACTTCCTTATTTCCTTTTTGGCAAAGAAATCTACATCAAAACAGTGCCAAACAGTGCCAAACAGTGTCTCAACAGTGCCAAACAGTGTCTCTACAGTGCCGAACAGTGTCAAACAGTGCTTCAACAGTGTACTCTACAGTAAAGTCAAATTTCTTTCCTTATTTTGTGTGAAGTCAAACTGTGAAGATTAAAAAAAACCGGAGGTAGTATCTATTTATATGTATATAATTTTCATTGATACTGTTGATTAAATTCTTATGGACCTTCAATAGCTATTTCTACACCTTCTAGTATAAATACTTATTGACATGTTGTCATTTAACATTTTTTGTTTTAGTATCTCGTGCACTTTTTATTACATTAATCTACACTTTTATAAGTATTTCTTTTTATGTCATTAACATATCATGCACTTTCTATCACATAAATTGCACTTCACACATGCATTTTGTGCATTTTTTAAATTTGTTTGAAATAAAGATAAAAATGGAGAGTGTGCATTGTTGTTAACTAAAAAATATCAAATGCATTTTAAATTTATAAAAAGGTGCACCCTCATATCACAATTTTTAAAATTCTATAATTGCACTTGTTTACAAAATGAAATGCACGTTTTCAACTTCTAAAGAGCAGATTATTGAGGTACAATGGATTATTCGATCAATCCGGTGTGACCGTGTGAATATAGCAATGAATAAAGATCAACAATTGATACTACGGGGTAGAAAAGAACTAGAGCAACAAACACAACAATATCATATGAGAACATAAACACAAAAAAAAAAACTCGACTAATTAACAGAGCTAAACGTAACAAAAAAAAGCAAAAAAGTTGATTTGCACCTAAATAAATAAATAATTAAATATACCAACAAACAGTAAAATAAAACTTCATCAAGAAAGATACGGAGTATATAAGTATATAACTACAAAAATATATTCCGAAAAAGGATTTAAGTGGAAGGGAAGTATTAATCATTAATTTAATAATGAATATGTAAGATATAGAGAACAAAAACTCACTTGAAATCACAGGGGTGTTTGGAAGTAATTATGCTTCTCCTTCTGCTTCTTTTTTAAAGCAAAATCAAAATCAGAATCAGTTTGAAGCCGGTCCCCCCAGTTTCTAAAAAACTGATTCAAGGAGTAAATTAGAACACCAAAATCACTTTTGCACTTTCACTCAAACACTCCAACTTCCGATTCTGCTTCCCGAAGGAGCAGAAGCAGTTTTAAGAATCATATCCAAACACCCCTCATAATACTCAAGACAAAATATGTAAGATTGTTGAGGATGACAAAGACAAGAATCATGATAGAAAAAATAGACAATTGGATAGATCGATTATGTAGAAAAACGTATATAGAAGAAAACTTAGGATGTTTTCTTTTGGACTGTTTTCAGTCTCAGGCCAGATCAGACCAGACCAGACCAGACTTAAACAGACCAGACCAGACTTCCGTAGTTATAAAATACACAGAGACCAGACGTTTACCAGACCAGACCAATTCAGACCAGACCAGACATAAACAGACCAGACCATACCAGACTTAAACAGACCAGACCAGACCAGCAAATTTCAGTCCAAAAGAAAACATCCTTAGATGGCTGGAAGCACATATCACATATGGAAAGCAACGGAGGAAGAAGTTACGTAAGAGAATGACTATTTATGGATAGAGTTGAAATATCTTATTTGCCCTGGAGGTAAATTAAATAAAAGACCAGACAATGAGTTGATCCAAAGGCTATAATTGATTCTCATTTCTCTCCTAAGATGTTTTTCTCACTTGAACCTAAATCTAGGCTATAATTTGCAAATATATATAATCTAGAGGTTCATAAATAAAATAATAGTAGTATCAAAAAATTAACAATTATAATAGCATTTCGAAGATTAGACTAAAAAATAAAATTAAAGTACTGATATTTTAATTTAAGGACATGTTTACTTTGTTGCTAAA